TGGTGGTAAAATAGGTCGATGTTGAGGAATAAGACGAGCAATTGCTGAGATATCTGGTGATGAATGACTGCCATCATCTTTCTGTTCTTTATCAATATTATTATCGACACTTGATTTTCGTTGCTTAGATTTCTGACTATTTCTATTAGAGCTCTGATAAAACAGAAGAAATGAATAAATAAATTAAATAATTAATACTACTCTTACTATTGATGAACTTGGTGATTTCTTTTTTGGTGTTATGTCTCTTATTGAAAGACCTTGCTCATCATCATCATCGTGCTGATCAACAACTGAAATTTGTCTATCTAATTTCGATTTTGATGGTGATACAATCTTTTGTGAAGGTACTTTTGTCTTTTTTGAGGATGTTCCATTTGTATTACGCTTTATTGTTGGTGGTGATACATTCACTTTTGCTCTTACGTCAACTACATCATCACCGAGTTCACCTGGTGCAATACAACATTCGTCATCATAACATTGATTAGGTCGTCGCTTAATAACATCATCATATAATGAATAACAAAAAGCTAAGTAAAAAATGACTACATTTCAAACTTTTCTATCTTATAAACTTACCGAGCATAATTGGATTTGTATGAGTAACTTCCATATGTAAATACGAAACATAAGCAGCAAAACCAATATCTAAAATTCAAAATTCTTTTTTATTTTCTTCAATAAGTATCAATAATTTACCAAATTTTTCTAATGGTCGTCCAAGAAAACTACAATCAAGTCGTGCCATATAAACCACATTAAGAAAAGTTGCTTTAATTAAACGTATGACACACGAAGCCATACCAAGAAAACAATCTTATCATTAGAAAAAAAAAACTATACATTTATACATCTTATTATAAATGAAATTAAATCTTACCAGCAAAAAAATTAAAATAAAGAAATATTGCATAAGTTTTACGATTTTTTAAATTAAGTTTTTCATCCATATCTTGAATGAATAAAAATTTTCCAGCTGTTGATATACTACCCATTTTTAATAAATAAATAACAAGTACAGGTACAGTTATAGCAAGTACCACTTCAATATAACGCATTTGTAAAGAAATAAATCGTATTAAAGTTAATATAAATAATATTAAATGAAAACATATGACAAAACCCCATGCCATATAACCAACAAGAAAACCAGAATAATGAACAGATTTTGATGCAATAGCATTTGGTTTAAAATTCGCAGGTGATGGAATATTTTCATAAATACCTTTATATAGATCTTTTCGATGTAATTTATAATTTTTCATACCAACAAATAATTGACATGCATATATAATAACCGTAATAATTGCACTCATAATTATTTCTAATTTTAATGAAAAAAGTCCTTTGATTTCTAAATTAGTAAAAACGGAAATCAAAATCTTTACTTTAAATTATATAAAGTAAATGTTTTTCATACCAATATTTAACATTGATTCAAGATAAAATCTTAGAAATGCAAAATGACCTGTTGTTCTTGATATATATAGAAAAACGAATGTACATGCTAAATAATATAGAAAAACAATTGCAACTGCATATGTACATGTTGCCATTGTTGTAAAACGAAAATCTTCATCCCAAGTATAAATTGAACGAATAAAATCTTTGACACGTGTTTTACTAGCTTTTTTTTTGTACTTCAGCTTCATGTTCATGATCGTCTAATTCATCGATATTTACCTTTTTTTTTGAATAGTTTATTTGAGCAAGTGCAATATTTCGTCGAAATAATTTTCTAACATAATATTTTGAAAATTCAAATTCATCGGGTTGAGCAACAGGTGATATCCATATACTTTGATTTTTTCTTAAGGGTACATAGATCGAATCATATACAAAACGTACCCATAATTCAGCACCAATATATGCAAGAAAGATAAAATGAGGAGTGTTTTTTATTAAACCATAAATTATAAACCATGTACCAAGTTCCTATTAAACAAAAGATAAAATATTACGATGATCGTATCTCTGACAGATATAAATAATCGCAATCAATCCTCTTTAAGATTAAACATCAAGGCAATAATTTGTGATACTAAGATAAAATCGTTAATAACGTACTTAATCTTTTTTTGAAACAGAATTTTCTTATCTTTAATATCATTCTGTTATGTATTGCTTTTCAAGTATATAATCTCATAAATCAGTAATTGTTGACTTATCAAATTTATTACAATATAGACTGTTGTATATTAAGTACCATCAGAAAGAAACGATGCAAAAATCTGGTACATACCATTCTTAATTTTGCTTCTTCTACAGCTGAATAATATTTTGATAATGGTAAAAATCCCATACATGATCCTTCTCGTACGATCGTATAAGCAATATCACCTAACATATATAGAGAAATAAAAAATCGTGGAACGACATTACGCAATTGTAGCGACGCAAGCACCGGATAATATCGAAGTCTAAAATAAATTTAGTTTTTATATTTTCTCAAAACATAAAAGAATTCTTCGTACCCAACTAGAATAACAACTGCTATTCCTTGAACTAAATCAATAAGAACACCATGATGTGATGGATCTGCTGTACTAAATGCAACTTCTTCAAATATTTTCAGTACTTCAAATGCAAGTATTCCAAAAACTGTTGCTGTTGTAAAACGATTTGCTGTTCGAAATGGTTCAATTGGTGGTATTAAACCTAAATTATTTCTTATCATTTATACGAAATACTTCTAAAAAAGAAAAATCTTACCTGGTCGACCATCACATACAGATAAACATAGGTTTTCACGTTTAACCGACCATGAAAAAATCAATATTAGTGTAAGTGCAAATGGAAAAAATATTAAATTTCCCATACGATAATCTGCTATTTTTTCACATTGTGCTACTAATCGAATAGTATCATTAGCTAATACTTCTAATTTTGTTTCATCAGTTATATCGTATTTAAATGAAGTAAAATGTGTTACTGTTGTTACAATAAATAATATTGATAGAAAGAATACACTCAATCCACCAACCCAACATAATCGAACAAGATCACGTTTATTAGGATTTTGTAATGGGTCAATATTTCGCGGTGAACTAAAGAAAATCATATATATAATTTTAAAAGAACATTAAAATATGAAAATCTAATTGTTATTTTATCTACAGTTTGTTTTAAATCAAGAATAAAAAGAAAACTATTTATCAATCAGAATTTCTAGAAATTGGCATACTTAAAAAATCGATGAACTTCTCGTCTAATAGATATATATGTATATACATGTATATTGAAAAAATATAAAAAAAAGAAGCTTACATAAAATTCATAATTTGCTCATGAAGTGTTTGACGACGCTCTTGAACAACAATTGGTATTTCTAGGTTTTCATCTTTGGTAGTTTTATGGTCATTTTCGTCTTCTCTTGAATAGTAAATTTATTTTATGGAAATTTAATACAAAAAAATAATAATAATATATTTACCTATTACCAGATACTAATTTTAGTTTATCGTCTTTCTTTTTTAGCTTTTTAATTCGTCTATTGTGCTTATAAATTTTAAGATATGCTTTGCAACAACTATACGAAAAACAAAAATTAGATTATTGAGATCAGTTTATTTTAAAATATTCACTTTGAGATAGCTCGAACAATCTTAATTAGTAGCCATCGAATTGGTTTGAATGATAATCCATAAATGAAGAAAATCATGACAAGTCCAATTATAATTTGTTGACCTTGTTTTGAAACTAAAATTAAATAAACGAATACAGCTGAAGGATATTTTCCGCAAGATAAATAAATAAGATTTTATTCATGCGAGAATATATTATGTATAATATCAAACATTGCCAAAGGTCTATATCGATTTATTATACAATTGATTAAAACTACAGAACATGGAATATAAAATAGTCTGTCACCTACTCAATAGTTTTTTGAACTATACGATGAAATAACATATCATACTAGAAATTGTTGATTACATCATCTTGGAAGTTAATTTAGATTTCTTTATTATACTACGTTGTAAATCATTAATATCGCACATTCTTATCTCTTTCATTTTATTCTTCTATCTTGATTGATGAAGATTTATTAGAAATATTTAAATAATATTTACTCAATTAATTATGTTTAAATAGAAAGTTTTTTGTTCGATTTTTTTTGTCTACGAAAAAAAAAGAAAATAAGCATTACCTCTTTCACAAAGGAGACCACCGTATAAAAATGAGCAGGAACACTTGAAACCTGATAATGTATTTACACAACGTCCATGTTCGCCACATACAATATTTGCAAAGCAAAAATCGAGTACTATATAATAATAAAATAATATTTACTGGACATATTTAAATAATTACAAACCATATTCACATGCATGTTCATATTCTATATCCGGTTCAACATTGCTCAATGAACATACAATATTATCCGCTTCTAAATAAGTTGTTAGAAGATAAATTGTCGAATCATTATGAATAACATTCCATCCTATTTGATCACATATTCCTTTAATATCTTCAATAGATTCAAATTCATCAGCATCATCTATTGAATCAAGATCATCATATTCATATTCTTCAATTGTAGTATTAGAAATAGTCGAATTCGATATATTCTGTTGTTGTTCTTCATTATCATCACCAATTAATTTTTGTTTATGTTTTTTAACAGTATGTTTAATTTTTTTCGAACGTCTTGATATACGTAAACCAGCTTGATCTAATTGATCAAGAACTTTTTCTTTTAATTTATAATATTTATCACGAAGTTTAGTAAATTTATCTTTCATACGTCGCCATCGTCCTTGATCATCCATTAAAATTTCTGCAATATGTTTCCCTATAAGTAATTAATAGAATTAACAAAAACGAATGTCATATTTCTTTTACCTTTCAATAAATTTGGATCAATGTCAATCATTAATGATGGTAAATTATTTTTAGTTAAAACATGAGCTGCATAGAATAATTCTACTGTATTACGTATTTGCATTAAATTTGAATGATTTGAATGTAGTAGATTACATGTATGATTAGCTTCAGTAGGCGTTGATGTTGTATTCGATAAATAATAACAAGAACCACCTAAACGTCGCCATCCTTTTGGACAACGAAAACGATTGACTATAAAAGAAGAATAATGTCAAAAATCATAAACTTATTAAATAAATGTCTCATATTTCATTTCTTTTATATCAACTTACAGCATTTGTAAAGGTACGAGATCCGTACCTAACAAAATGTAATCGAGTACTTATTTTCCTAACAATCTTAATTATATAGTATTAACTTCGATAAAAAAAAAAAGAAATCTTTATCGATAAATACGATTAAGATAAGTATAAGAATAGGTTTTTATTTTTTTAACTGAAATTATATAACTATATATCACCATATGGTTACACATTTATATTTAAAATAACCAAAAATATCGATTTACTTTTGTCGTTCTACGTTTTTATTGTCATGTGTTTATTAATATAATACATTTTTATGTCTTTTCAATGTCTACTGTCAATCTCAATAATTAACTTTTGATAAAATGCAAATAAAACGAAATATTTTTTTTGTTGTCAAATTCAAAGGTTTTATTTTACCTAGACAGTCCAAATTCATTGATATGACAAAATATATTTATAAATTATATACACAAGTTCTTTCCTGTCCTATTTATAACAGAACGTCCTTCGAAAAGAGTCTATGACCTTCACATCAAATATACTACTAAATAACACATACCAGCTTCTTTGATTTTATCAATTATTATTGGAAATTTATCCCACAAAGATGTGATATCATCAAGTTCAAGATTTTGTATATATGCAGGCATAGCACATGTTGTTGGTTCAATGTAAAAATTAATTAATAATAAAAATACCGTACAATAAATAATTGGCGGCATATGTCACACAAATAACAAGTCAATTGTACATTAAAAAATAGACAAAGTTTTTTTTTATGTCTTTAAATCAGCCACAGGATGACGCTTGTACACATACCGCAAAAAAAAGGGAGAAAAAAAATGAATGGTAAATTTATTACGAATGACGGCTCTTGTAGTTCTCCACGATGGCGACAAGGCTCTTTTAGTAGGATGAGTTGTAATGAGAACGAAGAAGAAGAAGAAGAAGAACAGGCAAAAAGGAAAGAAAAAAGCAAAAAAAAAAAAAAAGAAATACAACAAAACATCAACTACACATATGCAAATCGGGAGAGAAAGGAAGAAGAAAAAATGGTTCAAGCATTTTTACTGTTAACAGAGAAAAAGAATAGTATGAGCATTTTGACATCTGAGAATCAGTAGCACTGGTCATGAGTTCATCACCTTCTTTTTCTTTCTTCTTCTTCTTTTTTTGTGTGCGCATACATCCACATATCTACTTCAGATCAATGATATTATATACATACGCGTGTCTATGCGCCACCATCTCATTCTTCCCCTACTGACCGCTATTGGTTCATCTAAGAATAATGTATGATGAATTACTAAATTGTTAGCACACTCGACAAAATCGAGAGAGAGAAAGGCCAGCAGACATAAAGCGGATTAGCTTGTACCCGTAAGAGATCACTAATCAATCAATATTGTTCAATGACAATTACCATTTAAAAGATGAGATAAAATGTTTTACTAAGAATAAATACATTTATACACAAATGTCTATACCTTAATCGAGATCAAACACATTGACCGACAAGTTTATAAAGAACAAAAGATCCTTGTTCATATTTACATTTTGATTGTATATTAATTATCAAATGATTGTCCGATAAAAATATGATGTCATATAAATATATTATATTGAGTAAATGTACCGAAAAAACTTTTTTTTATACTTAATAGGTAATTAATGTCATTAACCAAGAATAAAGTCGTTAATAATTTGTACATATATATGTACATATAATAGGAGTCGTTTCAAATCATGAAAAAGAACAGTCACAATTGTACATAAACGATATATATATATATTAGAACAATAAACTACTTATCCTTGTCTATAAAACAGTTGCAGACAAGTGTCAAATAACTTTAATTTATTTGAATACACTTAGACGAATAGACATTGTCTTATTCAACAAATATATGTATATCAGATTCTACGTAGTTTACTTATTCAGTACACAATATTATCATACTTTTTCTATTTTCATTGATCAAATAAAGACATCGAACATAACTATATGTTTGAATTTCTAGTTTATTAATCTTCCTATTCATGATTTTCACCGGAAATATTTATTTTGATTGATGGAATTTTGCTTCTAGACGTTATCTTGTAATTGGCACCCTCTATTGATGAAATCAATAAGAAAAAGAAATACAAAACTGTCAATAGTAATGCAAATAGAAACAAATATAAAATAATGGCTGATCAAACAATTTTTTTTAACTATAAAACAAAGGAATATTTTACTTTTTTTCATTTAACAAAATGAGTTCAACACAATATTATGATCCGCATTTAGTGATTGATTTCGAAGGTGATTATTACACAGATGTAAATGGATATCAAGTACCACAAAATATTCGTCATCGTTTTCGTTCAACGACAACATCACAACTTTTAGCTGATCAATATAAAGTTGAACGTGATAGAGCAGAATTAGAACGTGGTAATATTAAAAAGAAAACTATTGTTTATCAACCAAGTCAAAAAAATGTAGCCGCATCTGATCCTGATTATGAAAAATTAAGTAATGATTTACGAAGTACTGTTTGTCGTGGTAATCCTGTACAACGTCGTAGTCATACAAAAACAGTTCATAATGAAGAAATATTTAAAGATTTTTTTCAAGAAAATACGCAGTCAAATTTACATCGTCGAAAAAAAGATTGGCTTGGTCGATGGATGGAAGCAGATATAATACGTGATAATCTTTATAAAAGTATGCTTCAAGCAAAAAAGAAAACAACAGAATAGACTTTATGGTTAAACTGAACGGCATAGACAAAAGTTTTCTTCTTTTTTTTTATAACGAAAAAAAAACAAACAAAAATAGAACGAAAAAAAAATGAAAGAAAGAGAGGGACAGAAAGAGAGAGAGAAAGAGACAAAAAAAACTGAAGAAAAATAAAAAAAAAAACTATGTCAGCGACGGCCAAGGGAATGCTGAAGGATGAAAGGGATATGAAGTTTAATGCTTATTTTTTATGAACAGTTGCTCCAAGTGTTGGAAATTCATCGGTTGAAGCTAAATTCGGTTCTTTCTTTTTCGATACTTTTGGATTGATACCACTAACAACTGTAACAGATGAAGATGCTCCACCACTACGCATTTGTGGTGGACGATAAGCGCCAGTTGATGCTGTTGCAGGTTTTACTTCTTCAACTTTTTCTTGAACAATTGGTTCGGCTTGTTTTGGCTCTTGTTGTTGTTGTTGTTGTTGTTGTTCTTCTTTTATTTGATTAAGTTTCCAAACAGGTTTATCTTTTTGTTGTTCACGATCAACAGATGCATCATTATTAGTATAATTATTATTTGGATTATTTTCATCATCATAATAATCATCATCATCATCGTCATTATCATTATTTCCACGTGAAATTTTTAAACGTAATTGTTCATATTTAGATTTTGAATCTTCAAATTCTTCCCATTCATCTTGTGGTTGTCCTTCGGTTTTTGAAGCAATATTTATTTGTTGTTCATTTAAATGTTTATTAGTATCAGCAACTTTTGTTTTCGAATGTTTATGAGTATCTTCAACAATACTTGCACTACCAACAAATGGTTCTTCATTTATTTGTTGTTCATCATCGTCATCAATGTTATCCGGATTTTCTTTAAATGCTGATGTTGCTGATGTAACAATAACTAAATAAAAACCTACATTTAATTATTCATATAAATTATTAATTTACCTAATTGTTTAAGTAATTCTTCATTATTTGTTAATAGAGGTGTTTGTTTCTTATGTTTATTACCCTTTCGATCTTTTTTTTTAAAGAAATCATCAAGATCATCGTTAGCGGCCATATTTATGGAATAATTAAAAAATAAAATAGAAGAAATAAAGAGGAGAGTTTTTATAATAGACTTTGGTTTTATTGAAATATATTATCAAATATAATTTTGTTTGGTCAAATTAATGTTATAGATTTTCATTCATAATCATCGGTAATTGTCCAGTTGAACATATGTTTTGAAGAGGAGAAAATTGTTTATGATTTGCAATATTGTTTAACAAAGAAATAGAGGAAATTTGACGGGAGAGAATATATGAAGAACGCGTTTTTGTACGACTCTTGACAGACGACAAAACGGAAGAACAATTGCTTGAAAAGCTTTTCTGTATAGAGTCAAGCATAATCTAAAAGAATGAAGAAAAATAAAAACGATAAAGAAAAAACAACAGCTATGATGAGAGTTAGAGTCATATGCATTGCAAACATTTTTCAATTATTTTATTTCAAAATGAGCCACGTCTTCGTTTTTTTCTCGAAAATCGAATAGTTAATTTAATATGACAAAGTATTACACCGATTGTGTTTTATAGATAAAAAACAAACGCCTATATATAGATTATGTGCATGCGCATACCTCTTTTTATGTCCTTGAGACAAACAGCGACCTGAGCAAACAAACGCTTACACACATCATCTTACTGAATGTATTTGGAAAAAAAAAACAAGAATGATTTGGCTCTTTTTGCACTTACTTAAAAACATATACGAAAGGAAAAAGAAAAAAGAAAAGATAGAAAGATTAAATATTCGTCTCTTTATATCACCAGGTGACCACGATGAGAAAAATAATGAGTAAAGAAGAGAGAAAAAAACAAGAGAAAAATAAAGTGTACGTCGATGTAGTAAGATACGAAAAAAGAAATAAGAAGAACGAATCAAAAAATAGAAAAACATACTTAGCGTATTTTTTTTTGTTCTGTCACTATTAAATTATATCAAAAATAAACATTTATTGTCAAAACGAAAAAAAAAATTTTATTATTTAACATTTTGACATTGTGAAATTATACTTATCAAGAAATGCTTGTTCTAATTTAAATAATTTTATAGTAGCATATCCAGCTGCACCATATTGAAAGACTAGTACTTTTTCAATATGATCCAACGAAAGATGAATGAAAAAATCCAAATACCCTAGAAAATCAAGATCAAATGAATCTTCATATATAATTAGTTTTTTTACCTAAATATTGTGATTTTTCATCTTCAATTGAGAAGTGACTATCACTCGGTGATACTGGTTCACGAATATACGAGCCAATCTCTTCATCTTTAACGAATGCTATTTTTGAAGAACGAGGATGTTGAATACTACCTATATAACTACAAATAATAGATTCAATATTATTTTTAATGTATTACTAACCTAAAGAATTATCTCCACGTTCATCAATATATATTCGTATTTTATTAGGCCATAGAAGAATTTTTTCAATCGTACAAAAATATCCATCATTATATCGACTTACAGTATTTTCAAGTTCATCGGGTAGAATTGTACGCATTAAATAGACTAACAGGATAAATATATTTGTTCCAAATAGATCTTACTTTGTTTACAATAATCTAACCATGTTATATTTTCAGATAATTCTTTATTTATTGGATCACGACGTGCGACCATTTTTTTCCAATATTTTTCATCATGTGACAAAAGATAAAGACGTTGACAAGTTGATGTAAATGAAAGAAAATCACGTACATCATTTTTCCATATACCATCAATGACATAAAATGTTATTATTTCAAGTACTTCATTTGGTAAATCAAGTAAATGAGTTGTCATCTGAAAACAAACTACAAAAATTTTGGAAATATCAAAGGAGACAAATTATAGCTGTTTAGGTATCCTACAGGAAATTTTAGATTAACGTAAAGTTTATAATAAAGAGGAGAAGAAAAAAAGTGTTCGAAATTCTTTTTTTTCTTTGACAATTTAATGTTTGCTACCATGTCCATGATGAAATTCTTTTTCAAATTCTGCATCAGTTGTCTCATAACCTTTACCATCATAATGAATAGCATTAAACCATTTACTATGAAATGGTGAATGAATTCCATCCAAAAATGGCCATTTCATTTTTGGTCGTAAATGATCCCAATCTTTAAATTCAGGACGTACATGATCTTGTGGTACAACTAAATTAAGATATGTTAATAGAGCAACAGCTGGGATAGCAACAAGTAAAGATAACCATTTCCACATTTTAACTTGTGAACTAAACTGATCAGAAATTTTATCATATTCAAATGGATCAATTGGACAATAATCAATTGGTAATGGACGAACACTTTCAGGAACGCCTAAAATTATTACATATTTGCAATGTAATTTGAAATAAGAACACTTATTGAATTAACTCAATGCTTATTTACTAGTCGGAAGTTTTTATAATTTGATTATACAATGAGAGATTATTCTCAACTGCCAAAGAATCGATTTTATCATGTATTCTGCAACTGTTTTTTTCTTGTTTGATTATATATTGATCATTCAAAGACTGAATTTCTAATTATAAATTTATCCTTTGAGAAACGATCTATTTTGTTATCATAAAAACAGTTTTTCTCATTGAGAGAATGAATAAATTATTTACCAGGCCAAATTTTGAGATTATGTGCACGTTGTTCATCTGTCAGTACGCTTACAGCGGATGAATTTTGTGCAGGTACACGAAATGCATCTTGTTGACGACGAACACCCACTGTTTGGGTTATGACACGTGTCAAATTCGCACGTGAACGAAGAGCTGTTAACATATTATTGAAATACTTTCTACAAAAGGATAGTTTCAAATAAAGACTAAGAAATCATTTAAAATAAACAAATAAATAATAAACAACCAATCGAATGAATATTTCAATAGCAAATAAAATCAATGAATCAAAATTAAAAAGAAAAATTTTTATATAATAGAAAAATCCAATAAAAATATCATTTTCAAAATTTTATAAAACAATTTCAATAGCGCCATCTGTTATTGCATCAAAAAAAAGAAGAAGAAAAGAACCAAGCATATTCTTTCGATTGATTCGCGCTTTTGACACAATGGCATCAACGAAATTAACTAAAGGATCTATTGC